AGTTAAATAGATATGCTAATGGTTTGTTTTTTTCATATTGATGGCATGGTGTCTTTAAAGGCTGTTGAAGTCACTGGAGAAGTGAATTCATGGGCTGAGAAGGAGACTAATGGTCTTATCAAAGAAGTTTTTTCTGGTGGATCAGTCGATGCTTCAACCAGGCTCATATTTGCCAATGCTCTCTACTTCAAGGGAGCTTGGAGTGAAAAATTTGATGCATCAAAAACTAAAGACCATGATTTTCAACTTCTGAATGGAAGCTCAGTTAAAGTGCCCTTCATGACCAGCAAGAAGAAGCAGATGGTCGGAGCATATGATGATTTCAAAGTCCTAAGGCTGCCATATAAACAAGGAGCAGATAATCGCAGTTTCTCCATGTACTTCTTTCTCCCAAATGCAAAAAACAGTCTGCCAGCTTTGGTAGAAAAAGTGAGTTCTGAATCAAGATTCTTGGAACGGCATGTTCCATTCCAACCTGTAGAAGTGGGTGACTTCATGATCCCAAGGTTCAAAATTTCCTTTGGATTTGAAGCTTCCAAAGTTCTCAAGGGACTAGGACTTGTGCTGCCTTTCTCTGATGAAGGAGGCTTGACAGAGATGGTGAATTCACCTCTAGATCAGAAACTGGATGTTTCAAGCATATTCCACAAGTCTGTCATAGAGGTTAATGAGGAAGGCACAGAGGCAGCAGCTGCTTCTGCTGCTGTTATAAAGCTCAGGGGATTGCTTAATGAGGATAAGATAGACTTTGTGGCTGACCACCCATTCTTGTTCCTCATCAGAGAAGATGCAACTGGAGTCGTGCTGTTCATTGGACAAGTGCTCAATCCCCTTAAAGACTGAAACCTGCACAGAAGATTGAATAATTTCTGGTTGATATTAGTGTATTTTGAGTGTGGATCTCTGGCCCCTTTTGGTCAGTTATGATTTCCTGGAGTCTCTTTCCTCCCTTAATGCCCCTGTAAAAATAAAATCTATTATTAGTTAGCAGTAGACATAGTTATGATCTTGCGGAATATGGACTCTAGCTTTTTACTAGTTGATCCATATCATCTTATTCCCAAAGTTCTCTTTGTTGTCCCTCTGCCTTTCTAAATTCTTGTCGATGCAAACTCTGGTGATGTGAGCTTACTATAGCAGACAGAATGAGCAAATATCCTATGTGATTTGGGGTTAAACTAATGACTGGAGCCGGATCTATTTTAAAATCTATTCATGTATGCTTGTTAAGTGCTGCATGTGGAACCACGCGGTGGTTCTCAGTTTACTAATTTAAGCATGGGTTCTGGTTAGTACGGTCCCATAAACATGTCATCACATGCTCGGAGGTCTCCTCTTGTTAATTTTACATATTTTAATGTTCTTTTCTCTTCTCGAAATACAGGATGAGTTACGGCCATTGGAAGGGATAACAGGTTTCTCACGCTCCTCCATAACCCTGACAGTCTCAGAGAGAACCTGGATGGACTATTTGCGGTAAGGTATGGGGGTGGTTATGTTTGGTTGGTGGAAATTTATTTAAAGAGAAAGAAAAAAAATATTTGTGTAATTTGTATCTTTAAAAATATATTAAATATGTCAACGAATTAAGTAATTTAGTGGTAATTTTCTTCCATTGAAAATAAGAAGTTTGAATTTGAATCATGTTGCATGTGAATCGAATGGAATAAGAGATGAGAGATACTTAATCTCATATTGTGCAATCAAGATAAAAAAAAATATTAAATATATATTTTTATTATAAATTTATATTGAAATAATAAAAATGAATTTTTAACTTATTAATTATTTAATTAAATTTATTTAATACTAAAATTAATATTAATTTATATATATATATTTGAATAAATTATCAAGGGGTGAGCTTGAAACCGTTTATGAAAGAAGGAGAATGTATCTTAACTTGGTAGGTTATCAGTTGGTCCGAATGATCAAGTGCATTAATTTTTATATTTTTATGTATATTTATAATAAAAAAACATATTTAATACACTCTTAACATGTCTTATGGGTTAAAAAAATCCAAGAAAAAATCAGAAAATGGGAATGACAACAAATCTATAATTCAAATACTCTTTTGATCACATGCATTTAGAATAACAAAGTTGCAGGTATGCAATTAAAAGCAGAGTCATCTACTGATGCAGCAGTTCAGTCTAACGCTGAGTGCTGAGATTTATTAATTATTTCATTATATATTAATAAAAGAGATAACAATTTTGCTGTCTGCCTGTCTCTACCGTGCATAAATTGTAAATCGAGATTTTTTAACCCGTTGAACCTTGTTAATTATAATATTTATAATTAATTTTATATAAGATTTAAT